CTCCCTCAACTTCAAGCACGGCAACAATCCAGAACATTTCTTACCGCGAAGGATGAAAGTGGAATGACTTTTAACTTGACCTGACAAGGTCAAACAGGCCTCGGACTCGGACTCAGCGAGGGCTGTGGAATCAGTGTAAGTAGATTACTATTACAATTGTCCATGTATCCCTTCAAAGGAAACCAGTAGGACCATAATTATCATACTTTCCTTTATTTTGCGTGGCACTAATTTTAACAAAAACCGTATAGATCATATACTCTTCATGACACCACCGTTTTATATACACTGAACCTAGACATCCATGCTTTCCTTTCTTGGTAATTCTTTTCTCTACTATCAATACTCTTGGCAGTACTTGTTGCCTACAAATAAAGGAGTACCCCAGGGAAGTATACTTAGTCCTCTGTCATTTTCTGTTTATACTTCAGATTTGTCACGATTTTTTAATTTTTCCACCGTTCACCAATAAGTTGGAGGTATATTATTATTCTATTGGTTGTAATTGTAAATTCCGCGTTTTAGAGACACTCCAAATCAAAAACTCTCTCAGGCGGGATGATCCGTAAGTTGTGCGTGGGCATGGCACTATGTGGAAATTCAAAGGTAGTAATGTTAGATGAACCCACGGCTGGCATGGATCCTTCAGCTAGGAGAGCTCTATGGATTCTTTTGAAACGACAAAAAGAAGGTAAATTAATAAAAAATTAATAAAAGATGGAATAGGTGCATAGAGGTAATATGCAAAAAATAATGATAAAAAATTACTTTTTAAAGATTTGGAATGATTAAATCGTGCAATTATTTAAAGTAAAAGTTACCTAATGGCTATAAAACAATTTTTCCCTTTCAAAACCTAAAAACCACCTCTATATTGACAAAAATTACTTTTTAAAAGCTTGGAAATTTTGGAATTCTTTAACGGTGCAATTATTAAAAATAAAAATGTCATTGGTTTTTTTACCATAACTCGGTTAATTTTGAAGCTATATATAGTATCCTACAAAAAAGCGTTTTAAAGATAATTTCAAGAGCTGTAAGATCGTTTGCATGTAAAACATTTTAAGTCCTTCGTTTTTTTAAGGGAAAGGATCGAAGGGCTCGAGTAAGGTCGTTTTTTTCACTGAAATGATGGCGATATCACCTTTATTTTTATGCTATAGGAATAAAAAAAAGCAAAATATTTGTTGAAAAAAAGCTACATTTTTGTTGTCTATCACTTTTTACGTATCTTTCATAGTTTCAGAGTTATTATATAAATAAGGCAATTTTTTTGAATAATGAAAAATACGTTTTCAACTTTTACCGTACATTATTAAAAAAATACGCATTCTAAACCGGTCTAACTTCAGGATCGTATGAAAGACACTAAAACAAAACTAATCGTAAATGGTCTACGATTAATTTTAGTTCTGATGGAAATGGTACGGTGTTTACTGCTCATTTTTCCTCAAAAAATATGAGCAACCCATCTGTTTTTGACGATAACTCCTTCAATTTTGCTCTAATTAACTTTTATAAATACTCATTTTTAAGGTCTCTTTGAGTACTACAAAAAACTCCTTTAATTACTCCCTTAAAATTAATCCTTTTTTCCGTTATTTGACGATGAATACATCGATTCGAGTATTCCCCTCAAAACAAGTCCCCTTCCACTAAGCATATTTCGCTTTGTATACGACGTACAACACTTTTTAAAAAACGATTTTCTTTGTTTATTTATTATCTACATTTTTGTTCATTAAACTTTTTTAATAAAATGCGTAGTGTTCTGAGCCAAATTTCAAGTCGATTGGTTCAGTTTCAAAGAATTGGAAGGTTGAAAAGCTTCAGTGACTATAAGCAAAACTATTGGGTTTGTTCAGAAAATTATTTAAGGAAATTAATATTCCATAAATCAAAAGGTAAATATTTTTTTTAGGGATTACAGAGTTATAATTATTATGTGCTCAACCACAACATATCAATGTGAGTAAAAAGAAATACAAGCCTTTTCTAAATCCGAAACAAATGTTTCTTGTTTCTTGATAGAAACCGAAAAAATAGTGTATCCGTTGGTATTTTAGGACGTACAATATTACTGAGCACTCATTTCATGGATGAAGCGGACCTTCTTGGAGACAGGATAGCTATCATGGCGGCGGGACAGTTGCAGTGCTGCGGATCGAGCTTCTTCCTGAAGAAAAAATTCGGAGCAGGCTACAATCTCGTCATGGACAAATCCCCAGAGTGCCGTCCCGCAGAAGTTACCGCGTTGTTACGGAAATATATACCTGACATTGAGGTTACTTTACATAGTTTGTTATACATACACTCATAAAATTGTTCTGTAAAATTACACACTAATCATTGGTGATTTTGACGCCACTAAAGGTAATGTAAAAATTTCATCATTCAAGTCAAGTCATATTATCTATTTACCTCAGAATTTATTTATAACATATTTAGATAGTTAAAACATTGTGTTATATTATTATTACATCGCAAATGAATCTAACCATGCCTACCGAACCACTAGTGATTAATCTGATTAGATATATTGGATATTTCATTAAAAACTCAAAATTGCCGAAGTCTCTGACTCTGAAAAACTGTCCAATTTTTAAGTTTAATGTTTGCTTTAAAAGTGGTGTAGATAACTGTGAGTAAATAAAATAATAAATTACAATTGTAATGGCCCTCTTAGAAGTTGCCAACTGAATTTTCAAATTTTTTTGTTCAATTATATTCCTTTCCCAAAATATATTTTCCTGATAGGTGCAACGTCCCTGTTGCAGGTTCATAGTAATGTTGGTTCGGAGTTGATATATCTCATGGAACAAAGTTACTCTTCCAAATTCGAACCCATGCTGAAGGAATTAGAAAACAACTCAAAGGGATTGGGAATTCTTGGGTACGGCATTTCTTTGACGACAATGGAAGAAGTGTTCATGAAGTAAGTATCACCAAATTAACAACTATGTTCAGGTAATTAATATATTAATTCAGAATATCAACCTTCGTAGTTAAACGAGACTTAAAATATGATTATCTTTAGTACAACTTACAACACATATTTAGACTTCATAGTTAACTTCTAACCAACGGTTAACTAACTATTATACAACCGGGCCTAATTGCGGTAAAGTATATAACCTTATAGTCCACGGGAACACGTACAAAAAAATAAATGATTAACTTTGCGTGCAGCTTAATAAGTTTGACGAGTCTCCCAAGATTTGACTATGAGGAAAATTCAACAGTAGTAACATGGAATGTTATGACCAGCACTTTTTTTTAAAGATTAAATGAAANCAGGATCGTATGAAAAACACTAAAACAAAACTAATTGTAAAGGGTCTACGATTAATTTTAATTCTGATGGAAATGGTACAGCGTTTACTGCTCATTTTTCCTCAAAAAATATGAGCAACCCATCTGTTTTTGACGATAACTCCTTCAATTTTGCTCTAATTAACTTTTATAAATACTCATTTTTAAGGTCTCTTTGAGTACTACAAAAAACTCCTTTAATTACTCCCTTAAAATTAATCCTTTTTTCCGTTATTTGACGATGAATACATCGATTCGAGTATTCCCCTCAAAACAAGTCCCCTTCCACTAAGCATATTTCGCTTTGTATACGACGTACAACACTTTTTAAAAAACGATTTTCTTTGTTTATTTATTATCTACATTTTTGTTCATTAAACTTTTTTAATAAAATGCGTAGTTTTCTGAGCCAAATTTCAAGTCGATTGGTTCAGTTTCAAAGAATTCGAAGGTTGAAAAGCTTCAGTGACTGTACTATAAGCAAAACTATTGGCTTTGTTCAGAAAATTATTTAAGGAAATTAACATTCCATAAATCAAAAGGTAAATATATTTTTTAGGGATTACAGAGTTATAATTATTATGTGCTCAACCACAACATATCAATGTGAGTAAAAAGAAATACAAGCCTTTTCTAAATCCGAAACAAATGTTTCTTGTTTCTTGATAGAAACCGAAAAAATAGTGTATCCGTTGGTATTTTAGGACGTACAATATTACTGAGCACTCATTTCATGGATGAAGCGGACCTTCTTGGAGACAGGATAGCTATCATGGCGGCGGGACAGTTGCAGTGCTGCGGATCGAGCTTCTTCCTGAAGAAAAAATTCGGAGCAGGCTACAATCTCGTCATGGACAAATCCCCAGAGTGCCGTCCCGCAGAAGTTACCGCGTTGTTACGGAAATATATACCTGACATTGAGGTTACTTTACATAGTTTGTTATACATACACTCATAAAATTGTTCTGTAAAATTACACACTAATCATTGGTGATTTTGACGCCACTAAAGGTAATGTAAAAATTTCATCATTCAAGTCAAGTCATATTATCTATTTACCTCAGAATTTATTTATAACATATTTAGATAGTTAAAACATTGTGTTATATTATTATTACATCGCAAATGAATCTAACCATGCCTACCGAACCACTAGTGATTAATCTGATTAGATATATTGGATATTTCATTAAAAACTCAAAATTGCCGAAGTCTCTGACTCTGAAAAACTGTCCAATTTTTAAGTTTAATGTTTGCTTTAAAAGTGGTGTAGATAACTGTGAGTAAATAAAATAATAAATTACAATTGTAATGGCCCTCTTAGAAGTTGCCAACTGAATTTTCAAATTTTTTTGTTCAATTATATTCCTTTCCCAAAATATATTTTCCTGATAGGTGCAACGTCCCTGTTGCAGGTTCATAGTAATGTTGGTTCGGAGTTGATATATCTCATGGAACAAAGTTACTCTTCCAAATTCGAACCCATGCTGAAGGAATTAGAAAACAACTCAAAGGGATTGGGAATTCTTGGGTACGGCATTTCTTTGACGACAATGGAAGAAGTGTTCATGAAGTAAGTATCGCCAAATTAACAACTATGTTCAGGTAATTAATATATTAATTCAGAATATCAACCTTCGTAGTTAAACGAGACTTAAAACATGATTATTTTTAGTACAACTTACAACACATTTTTAGACTTCATAGTTAACTTCTAACCAACGGTTAACTAACTATTATACAACCGGGCCTAATTGCGGTAAAGTATATAACCTTATAGTCCACGGGAACACGTACAAAAAAATAAATGATTAACTTTGCGTGCAGCTTAATAAGTTTGACGAGTCTCCCAAGATTTGACTATGAGGAAAATTCAACAGTAGTAACATGGAATGTTATGACCAGCACTTTTTTTTAAAGATTAAATGAAAGATATATTTATTTTAAACCCCCCCAAAAATTTGTCCGACAAAAATTTTGTTAAGTTTGTCCCCCACCCCAAATATGTCGATTTGGTGACATTATGGTTGGTGACAACCATCAAGCTGATTTTTCTGGGAGGGTTTGGTAAAAAGATTTGAAATGAAAGTATCTTATTGTCCGACAAAATTCTTGAGAAGTTTTTGCTGTCCGACGCCCCGTAGATGTCGATTTTACGACAACATGGTTGGTTATAACCAGCTGTCGGACAAAGGCGTCATTATTTTAAAAAAATGCAATATTAATCTGAGAATTTAATTGTCCGACAAAATTATCGTTTTTTTCTTGCTTGTCCGACAAAATGAAACGATAAAATTTTGCGGTTTCAATGATGTAGAAGAAAAATTTATATTTAATAAAAAAAATTTTGTTTAAACTTCTCATATTTCAAAATAAATATGACTAATTTAAATTAATTTTTTTATACAATTACAAAAAACAGGGATGTTTCAAAAAAACGTGTGCAAGTTCCTCATGGGAAAATAATAAGGGTAGTTCATGTAATTTTTTTTTCTTAGACGCCCTGTTTCGAGATACAGTGTGTTGAAGTTGTTACTTTCCAAATGGTTATCCTTAATTATCTTTAAATCGGCTTTTCTTTTTGTACGTGGGCCCATGGATTAGCTACAAGTGCGCCAAATACGAGTTCATCTGCAGAATTTATTTAACAGCTACCTATATTTGAATGAAAGTACTTAGTTTAAGTTCAAATATT